CATTGCTCGCCACTGTACTTTGCAGTTCCGGCAGCTGGTACTGCGGGGCGTGCTGGGCTACGGGGAGCTTGGCGCAGCGGTGGATGCCAGCGGCCCGTCCATCTCGGACCAGCTGGACGGCCTTTTGGGCCTCGTCCCCGGCAGCTGGGTGGCGGCGGCCCGGCAGGTCGCGGCCGGCCAGGTGGCTGCCCCGTCTGCCCGTGCGGCCTGGGCGGCGCTGCTGCAGGGGCTCGCCTGGTGCCCTACTGGCGGGCCGCCCACGCCCGTCCTGGGCACCTCCGTCAAGCGTGGCACCCAGCTGCAGCTTACCACGGCGTACCGTGATCTCCACGCGCGCCATGCGGATTTCCTTGCGGACGCGTATGACGGCCCGGTGCCGCCGCTGTCGTCTGCAGCTTTCCGTGACACCCTGCGCCGCCTCTGGCGGCTGCGGTGGGAAAACGACCACAAGGAGGCGCTCTGGCGACTGGCCGTACATGGCGTCACGGGGTTCCCGCTGCTGCGTGGGCATGCAGGTCGTGGGATCACTGCCTGCTGCCCGTGTGGCGCGACGCTTGCACAGGAGGGGCGATGTTGGGTCCGTCGGCACCTGTTTTGGGAATGTTAAGTTGCCCGCACCTTGCACGAGGAGCTGGACGCCGTGTTGGGGGCATCGGGTGGCTCGGTGGTGCAGCGGTTTCAGCTATGGCTCGTGGTGCCCCCCCCTGGGATCCGTCCCTGCGTGTGGGATGTTGTGGCTTTGGCGGCCCTGGCGGCGCTGGAGCGTGGCCGTCAACGCATGTACCGGGGGGGTGCTCCCGCCGCCCCCCTTGCTCGGGCTCAGTTGGTCGGCGTTGGTGCCGCGGTTGTTGCCGACTTCTGGGCCCGCGTGGCGTCGTTCGCGGCCCTTGGGACCGCGCCGGCTGGTTGGGAGGCGGTCCCGGCGGATCACCCCTTCCTCGCCAGCCAGGCGGGCCGTGTTGTGTTTGTCGGCCCTCCGGACTCTGTCTCCCCTCCCGGCTCCCCCTGACGATTTCGGCAGGAGTGTTCCGTGGGCGCCTGTGTCCTGCCCTCCGTTTGCTTTGTCCTTACTTGCCGTGTGTGTGCTTGTCTTCGTCGGGGCGGCGGCGGCGGCGGCGACATGGTGTTGCGAAGTGATCTGCTATGTGGCTGCTCTACCGTTTCTGGTTTGTCGGCGCGACTAGTGCCGGTCTGTCGGCTCGGTGGCAGGCGTCCTGAGGACGCTCTCTTGTTTGTCTGGTTTCGTTCTTCGTGCGTCTAGGCCTCTTGCGGGCCCTGTGCTTCTGGGGCTCTCTTTTCTGCTTTTTCCCACTTTGCGTGATGTGTGGGCTTGGTGCTGGTGGGCCTTGGAGGCTTGGCTTTCGGCACCCCTCCGTGGGTGCCCCTGGGGTAGGATGAACAGTCCGTCTAGCATGTACGGCTAGCAACCGATATGAACATCGGTTCCCCTTGTAATCCTTGCATTCTAACAGTGTGCTGTGCCGCAGGGGCGGCCGGCCTCCTCCCCGCCGACCCGCCCTGGGCTGATGTCGCCCTGCATCTGCTGCGCCGGTGCCACCCGGCGGCCCACCCCTTGTGCTTCCTGGCCCCTGGGGGCGGCCGCGTCCTGGGGGCTCCGGCGCCACAGGAGTGCCCGGTGTTCGCCCGGCTGCTCGGTGCGGCCGCCCACCTCGGACCCATCATTGTCCCGGACCCCGACGCCATGGCGGGCCCCTGGTGCTACTCGGCGCCGCTGTGGAGCAACCCGGCACTCCTGGGACCCGGCGGCGTGTGCCTGGAGGTCACCTTCCCGGCCCTTTTCGGACTGCGCGGCCTCACCACCCTCGGTGTCGCTGTGCGCTGCTGGGACGCGCTCGCGCCGACGCGCGCCGCTTTGTCGGCGGCGCGTGGTCGGCCTGCGGGCGTGTCCCCCCGCATTGCTCGCCACTGTACTTTGCAGTTCCGGCAGCTGGTACTGCGGGGCGTGCTGGGCTACGGGGAGCTTGGCGCAGCGGTGGATGCCAGCGGCCCGTCCATCTCGGACCAGCTGGACGGCCTTTTGGGCCTCGTCCCCGGCAGCTGGGTGGCGGCGGCCCGGCAGGTCGCGGCCGGCCAGGTGGCTGCCCCGTCTGCCCGTGCGGCCTGGGCGGCGCTGCTGCAGGGGCTCGCCTGGTGCCCTACTGGCGGGCCGCCCACGCCCGTCCTGGGCACCTCCGTCAAGCGTGGCACCCAGCTGCAGCTTACCACGGCGTACCGTGATCTCCACGCGCACCATGCTGATTTCCTTGCGGACGCGTATGACGGCCCGGTGCCGCCGCTGTCGTCTGCAGCTTTCCGTGACACCCTGCGCCGCCTCTGGCGGCTGCGGTGGGAAAACGACCACAAGGAGGCGCTCTGGCGACTGGCCGTGCATGGCGTCACGGGGTTCCCGCTGCTGCGTGGGCATGCAGGTCGTGGGATCACTGCCTGCTGCCCGTGTGGCGCGACGCTTGCACAGGAGGGGCGATGTTGGGTCCGTCGGCACCTGTTTTGGGAATGTTAAGTTGCCCGCACCTTGCACGAGGAGCTGGACGCCGTGTTGGGGGCATCGGGTGGCTCGGTGGTGCAGCGGTTTCAGCTTTGGCTCGTGGTGCCCCCCCCAGGGATCCGTCCCTGCGTGTGGGATGTTGTGGCTTTGGCGGCCCTGGCGGCGCTGGAGCGTGGCCGTCAACGCATGTACCGGGGGGGTGCTCCCGCCGCCCCCCTTGCTCGGGCTCAGTTGGTCGGTGTTGGTGCAGCGGTTGTTGCCGACTTCTGGGCCCGTGTCACGTCGTTCGCGGCCCTTGGGACCGTGCCGGCTGGTTGGGAGGCGGTCCCGGCGGATCACCCCTTCCTCGCCAGCCAGGCGGGCCGTGTTGTGTTTGTCGGCCCTCCGGACTCTGTCTCCCCTCCCGGCTCCCCCTGACGATTTCGGCAGGAGTGTTCCGTGGGCGCCTGTGTCCTGCCCTCCGTTTGCTTTGTCCTTACTTGCCGTGTGTGTGCTTGTCTTCGTCGGGGCGGCGGCGGCGGCGGCGACATGGTGTTGCGAAGTGATCTGCTATGTGGCTGCTCTACCGTTTCTGGTTTGTCGGCGCGACTAGTGCCGGTCTGTCGGCTCGGTGGCAGGCGTCCTGAGGACGCTCTCTTGTTTGTCTGGTTTCGTTCTTCGTGCGTCTAGGCCTCTTGCGGGCCCTGTGCTTCTGGGGCTCTCTTTTCTGCTTTTTCCCACTTTGCGTGATGTGTGGGCTTGGTGCTGGTCAGGGTGGCTATCTTATTTTGCTGAGTATCTGCGGCCAGAGATACTCCTGGCTCAGAAGCGCTGGGAGTATCTGTCAGGATCTGTCTAGGAGGGGATTTTCCCGGCTAAACACGGCCCCGGGAGATATCATGCCCCGCCTGTGAGGCCGGATTATCTAAACCTTCAGCTTTTTCCACGGCAAAAGTATCTTCAGATTTCCAAAATTTCTCCCGAATATATATTCATATCTTAAGATAGCCACCCTGGTGCTGGTGGGCCTTGGAGGCTTGGCTTTCGGCACCCCTCCGTGGGTGCCCCTGGGGTAGGATGAACAGTCCGTCTAGCATGTACGGCTAGCAACCGATGTGAACATCGGTTCCCCTTGTAATCCTTGCATTCTAACAGGAGGGGCGATGTTGGGTCCGTCGGCACCTGTTTTGGGAATGTTTTGTTGCCCGCACCTTGCACGAGGAGCTGGACGCCGTGTTGGGGGCATCGGGTGGCTCGGTGGTGCAGCGGTTTCAGCTATGGCTCGTGGTGCCCCCCCCTGGGATCCGTCCCTGCGTGTGGGATGTTGTGGCTTTGGCGGCCCTGGCGGCGCTGGAGCGTGGCCGTCAACGCATGTACCGGGGGGGTGCTCCCGCCGCCCCCCTTGCTTGGGCTCAGTTGGTCGGTGTTGGTGCAGCGGTTGTTGCCGACTTCTGGGCCCGCGTCACGTCGTTCGCGGCCCTTGGGACCGCGCCGGCTGGTTGGAAGGCGGTCCCGGCGGATCACCCCTTCCTCGCCAGCCAGGCGGGCCGTGTTGTGTTTGTCGGCCCTCCGGACTCTGTCTCCCCTCCCGGCTCCCCCTGACGATTTCGGCAGGAGTGTTCCGCGGGCGCCTGTGTCCTGCCCTCCGTTTGCTTTGTCCTTACTTGCCGTGTGTGTGCTTGTCTTCGTCGGGGCGGCGGCGGCGACATGGTGTTGCGAAGTGATCTGCTATGTGGCTGCTCTACCGTTTCTGGTTTGTCGGCGCGACTAGTGCCGGTCTGTCGGCTCGGTGGCAGGCGTCCTGAGGACGCACTCTTGTTTGTCTGGTTTCGTTCTTCGTGCGTCTAGACCTCTTGCGGGCCCTGTGCTTCTGGGGCTCTCTTTTCTGCTTTTTCCCACTTTGCGTGATGTGTGGGCTTGGTGCTGGTGGGCCTTGGAGGCTTGGCTTTCGGCACCCCTCCGTGGGTGCCCCTGGGGTAGGATGAACAGTCCGTCTAGCATGTACGGCTAGCAACCGATGTGAACATCGGTTCCCCTTGTAATCCTTGCATTCTAACGAGCACCGGGCGGGGGCCCTGACCGGGCCGGAACACAGCACAGGGGCGGGTGCACGGCTACATCCGTCTGTCCCGCCGCGTGCAGCTCGGGGAGGCACCACCGCACACCCAAAACTACGAGGCAAGGGAAAGCCTCTACCCAGGCTAGACACGGTCCCGCACGAGAGCGAGCTACCTCGGTGCTGAGTCCCCTCACCAAGGGCTCCGCGAGAGCCAGCACAGCAAGGAGCTAGCCCAACTGCTGCCACAACACGACAGCCAAGGCGCTGCTACAGCAGGAGCCGCTCCCACCATCACCCGCTCCATCCTCCCCTCCAACCAACGCCCCTTGCCCATGTAAATTGGGATCCTATATATATAGTATAGTTTACAAGTCAATCAACAAGAACACGGCATCCTGCACTCGTACACAGCAACAGCAGTGTCACTATTGGCGTTTCATTACATGCCGTACACCAGACGAGGTGGCCGAGCGGTCTAAGGCGCTAGATTCAGGACTACTTGGAGTAATTCAGGGAGAAACTTCTAGTCCGTAAGGGCGTGGCTTCAAATCCCATCCTCGTCAATGACACTTGTCTGTCAGACCTTTGCCGTAAGGATAGGCACCTGCATGAACAAGCACCTAAGCGAGGAAGCAAAGAGATGTCAATCAGTGAAAATGAAAAAAGGGAAACAAATGGCAAGGGAGGCCTAAGGGTTCGATTACATATGCACGAAACAGTGTCTTGCAGTTAGACTTTAAGTCGGGAATCAGTTTATAAGTGGTGTTTACATTTCAGCCGGAAAGTGGTTTCGTACATAAAAGTCTTAATGCAAGTTTTCACAACCGGGGTCGTGAAAACTTGCAAAAACTCATCAGCTTCAAACATAATCTAGTAAAAACAAGACGCTGGACGCCTCGTAGGCATACAGCAACCCAAACCACACACAGCGTCCGGTCTTCACCTTGCTAGCCCTTTAATTTTCTCACAATTTTTTAAGCAGAGCATGCGTTTGCCGCGGCAGAAATGAGCGGTCTATATGATTACTCTGACGATGAGCCGTGTGATCATGACGAGGACTCTATTCAGGCAGAGCAGGACGACCCTAGCATAGACGCTATCGCACAACAAGCTGTCCTGAGTGCAGTGCAGGCGCTGAACGTGCCTCTGCCGCCCGGATGCCCAGTACTTGCAAGGCAAAAAAGCACAAAAATGCAATGTGAACACTTTTTCAGACCAAAACTAGTTTCGGGCAGAATCGGTCTTATGTCTGGTTTCCGTATTAATGTTTTGAACTGGACAAATGTAATTGAACCCTAAGGGCCCGATTACATATGCAGGAAACTAGTTTCGTACCTTTTGGGCAAAATCAGGCGGAAAGGTAATTTTCGTTTACATTGACATTATGAACTTTGAGGCGAAAACGTTGATTTTGCTAGATAATGTTTGAGTTTGAGCGCGAATCGGGTAATTTTTGCAAGTTTTCATACCCCTGGTTGTGAAATCTTGCATTAATCCATTTAAGCACAATACCCCCAATTTTATACCGATTCCCGACTTATTGGTCTTATTGCAAGACACAGTTTCGTGCATATGTAATCGGGCCCTAATAAGGGCAGGAAAGGTGAGAATGGTGTTAACGGGTGCGTGGTTACACTGTGGGCGACTCACCATGAGGCAGAACGAGCACCGGGCGGGGGCCCTGACCGGGCCGGAACACAGCACAGGGGCGGGTGCGCGGCTACATCCGTCTGTCCCGCCGCCGCTCCATGGCACGTCCAGCAAGACGGGCTTCAAAAGTGGGACCCGAATGCAGTCACAGTAATATCCTGGTCTGGCCTGTGTTAGTCCTAAAGCTAGGCTCGCGTACCTACACGAGGATGCAAGGAAAAACATATGCTGCCATGCGCGCGCGGCCTCATAGGCTTCAGTTGCCATGCGCTCCGGAACCCACTTTTACTTCCACTTTGCACTTCCATTTTCGTACTTTCGACCGCCAAAAAATCGGACATTGGAACATAAGCGATTATCGTTCATTGAGCGTTTATGGTAAACGTGTATCCTTCGTTGAGTGAACAGCGAGTGGATGGAAGGACCCAGGTTTACCCGACTTGCGGTCAGACTACCGTGAATGAAACTTAGGCCTTCCGAAGCCAACGCATTTCCCTCTGTAACAGAAAATTAAATGATTGCGGCTCGGCAGCTGGTGGGAACTGGCGGGAATGGGTAAGAGCTCGATTGCCTTGCGATTAGCATACGGGGCCCGGATATTGAATGAATTTTAACTTAGAACTAAGCACTACGGTATGCGAGCGAACATAAGATCAACAATCATGTTATGTTTTCAATCTTTGTCAATGTTCAAGGCGGCATAAATTTTCGGACTCTAACGCTTGACGAGAAGTATGCGATGGCGGCGGTGATGCAACACGTCGTTTCCATGCAGGCTTCACACGCGCACTGTCATCCGGCACGGGGCAGGTGCCAACCGGCGTGCGGTGGTGCAACATCAAACTCTGAGTGTGCAACGAAGACAGCGTCTGCGGTGGACAACGACCCACGGATACATTCAACCTTTATGGGAGCGCCCGATTGCAACTTTGCGAGCATTGTCGGTTGAACCAGAACCAGAACTTGTTGCACCACAAGGTGTGACAGGGGGCGTAAAGCTAACTATTTTGGCTTACGGCCAAGGGCCATGCAGGGCAACATCCCTTGTGGGTTAGTTACCCACGATTGTGCTTGCAGCTTCCCAACTGCTGTCGTCCGCCTGCAATTCGCCCCGGCTGCGATGCCTCTCGTATTTTTCATTCTGTTGGCATAGATCCAAGACGCTTTCATAGTGTGGAGCGAGCATCTCTGACGTGGCGTGCGGGCTCGGACAAATAATACCGTAATTGAGATTCATCTGTGCCTGTGTCTTTGACATGTGCAGGAGATGCGTCACCGTCAGTACTGGAGACGCCCGCTAATGTGTATGTGGTTCCGGAGCCTCTAACTAAATCTGGAGCCGCTGCTGTGGGGCCCGACGCAGCTGTCGGCACTGCCGCCGCCGACGGCAGCACTGACAACCCCAACTCCACTTCCACCCTCGTTGGTAGCCTGGCGCCACCCTCAGTAGCACCCACACCCTCGTCGGCATCAACCTCGTCCCATGGCAGGCTGGAGATGGAGGGGAGCGGGGGCCAGCGGAAGGGGAAACAGATCGAGAGGCTGCGTGTGTCACTGCTGGCGGCGCTATCGTCGCTGGATCGGGGTTTGGCGGCCAACGTAAGGCGGAGGGCCTTCATGGAACCCGGGGGCGCGGGGTTCAGGGCTGGGGCCGGGCTTTTTGCTTACAAACGTGGGGCGCTGGTAGTGTTAGTTTGCGGTTCGTGTTACCATGGTGCGGGGACGGGCCGGATGCCGCAAACGTGCGTGCCTGCCGTGTCGTGCGCACGTGCATCCATGCACGCCTGCGCACATAAGCTTCGGCGGGCTGCAACCCACGTGCCATTGCGCTTTCGCTTGCAGGCCCGCGAGGCAGCGGAGGTGGATGAGCTGTGCAGCCGGTTGGAGGGACTGGGCGGTCCGGTGGTGCTGGCGCCGCGCGGACTCGGTGCGGCGGCCAGTGGCGGCGGTGGTGCTGGGGGCTCAGCGGACGACTTGCTGTCCGGCACCTGGCGGCTGGTCTACTCGAGCGGCTTCAACTCGGGTAAGTAACAGAGAAGATATATACCGGCAGCGTAGGGACGGAGGCGGCGTTTCGCGAACGGAACCAGGACCCAGCCATACTGACTTGGATAGGTGGGTGGGCGGCTGGGTGCGGTGCGGTGTGCGGCGCGCCAGAGCCCCGACGAGAACGCGCAAAGCGATTCGCGAATTCTCTCGCTCCTATTGAGCCTGGCCGCGTGTCCGGCTCAAAAGACACGTACTGTCCTCAGCCGTCCTGGGCCTGCGTGTCGCCATCGCTCCCAGCCGCCATCTCTCCCCGGCCCTGCCCCGTCCGCCGCTTCCGTTTCCTGTGCAGGGAGCCTCGGCGGCCGTCGCCCCGGGCCCCCCGCGGCTCTGTTCCCCACCACCCTTGGCCAAGTCTACCAACGCATTGATCCGGACATGGTGGGTGGGTGGGTGGGTGCGGACCAGGCAGGCACGGCAGGTGGGCGGGCGCGGGGAATGGGCCCGGACATTGCCAGGCGGGCGCGCGGTCGGGTGAGAAGTGCGCCGGGGGGCAGCTGATACCGTAGTTGGCACAAGGGAGCGAACCAGGCGCCATAAGGCCCATAACACATACCTCCGGGTGCAGTGTCACACAGCCGCGCAGCCACTAGTACCGGTCAGGGTGGTTCCTTACCTCGTCCCCGATTACCAGACACAGCACGCTACGGGATCCGCACCCCCGCCCCCTCCTCCCCTTCCGCCAGAAGAGGAGGGGGCTTGCGGATCCCCTCCCGGGCCAGCCTCGGCCCAAACAAGGGCGAACATCATACCCCGAAACTCTGAGCCCAGGCCTCTCCCACTCCCGCCCTCCCTCATGCCTGCCAGTTCACGGTTGCCTCTTTGGACGGCCACGCTCTATCCCACTCGGGTCGTTCACTAACGCCATCGGCGTCCGTCTGCTGCGGTATCTTCGTTCGTTACCCCCTCAGGCTAAGCTGGACAACATTGTGGAGCTGCTGCTGAGCTACGGTCCCCCCGACTGGGGCCTGCTGGGTCTGGGACAGGAGGCGCTGGGCCGCGGCCTGAGCGGGCTGGGCCGGCAGCTGGGGCTGGACCTGAAGTCGGAGCAGCTGCCGCCGCCTCTGAGGGAGCTGTTCGGTGAGAAGGCGTCGTCCGTCAATCAGCCGGGAAAGCAGGGAAGGGGCCAGCAGCGCGAGGCGCCGGCGGCGAGGCTGACACTGCGGCACGATTACGAGGTGGGTGGGCGGGGGGACGTACGGTAGTAAGGAAGGTGCCGTAGGGGAGGGAGCGCAGCGGGGGATGGCCGGGGGGTGCCCGGGGGTCGAGACGGTGAAGTGTGATGCGGCATCATGAGCTTTGGAGGTGGATGGTTGCGGAGGGGTGGGACGGGGGTGGAGGAGGAGGTGGTGAAGGAGGTGGGGTTGGGTGCAGGACAGGACGCGACGGTGCGAGGCACGGCTGGGTGTAGAGGCCAGGCCGGGCGGTGGGTGGGGATGGGGCGATGGAGAGGAGATGTGGGATGGCGGCGGGGCCCCGCGGGCGGCGGGCGGCGGGTGCGAGGCACGCTGCACGCACGCGTACGCGAACGCGCACACGCTCGCGTACACGCACGCCAAGTAGGTTGCGTGGCGGCTGCTTTACCAGTTGCCCAGGGCATGCTTTACCAGTTGCCCAGGGCGTGGAATGCAGCGCTTTCTGGGGTGCACGTGTTAGGGCCAAAGCCGAACCTCCGCCACAAGCCTACCGTGCGCACGCCCTCGCAGCATGTGTGTGTGTGCGTGTGCGCGCGTGTGTGTGTGTGTGTGTGTGTGTGTGTCACTGCACGGCACGCGCATGGAAAGTGGGGTTGGGGCTCATGGAGGTGTGTGTTGCGGTCTCCGTGCACGAACCTAATACGTCCACGCAGGTGACGAGCCCGGCCACT